CCCCCCAGCTCCCCCAGCCGCTCCCCAGCAGCCTGGGGCTCCAGACCCCTCCCCAGCTCCGCTGCCCTTCTCTGGACACGCTCCAGCCCCCCCAGGTCCTTCGGGGAGGGAGGGCTCCGTTGGGAGAGGAGCCCCCTGCCCCCAGACAAGGAAAGACCAAAGTCCTGGGATTGCAAAGTTAACATTTTATTGAACTTAAATTGATGTAGAACAGAGGGGCACGAATGGCTCAAGTGTTCATCAACAAAATGCCCCAGATGTTTCACGTAGAGTCCTAATACAGTTTGCATGGAAACAATTGAAAAAGTTGTAAAATACTCTCCCAGGTCAGAAAGGGGGATTCACAGCCCTGTTTTAAGCCTTTGTGCTCCCAAATATTGTCCTGCCTTGATCGATTTCATATCCTTCCCCAGGAGAAGGTTATGGAATCGCTGGCCACGCTCTCCCCCACCAGGTACAGAAATGGGTAACAGCAAACTCGGGAAAAGAACCATGCGTCAGCGGCGGCGCGGGTCTTGGCACGGGTCGACACTCACCCACCCGGAAAGCCTGGCGGTGACATTGCTGCCCAAAAGGTAACGAATGAGCAAAGTTACCACATCGGCACTGAAACCCATTTCTGTGTAAAGTCGCAGTAACTCGCCCCCAACAGCTGTCTGTGTGTTTTACAAAACACTTCCAAAAGATTTGAATATTAGTCTTTTGGGGGCTTTTTTTTTTTTTTTTTTTTGACAGCTGACAAGGTGGTCTGAAGACTTAAAAGCAGGCAAGTGAGCTGCTTCGAGGGGCAGTTCAGAGAACACCTACAATTTAAAAGAAACCAATGACTTTGGGCAGAGTTTTTCCCCCCTCAAGCCCCAGCAAGACTGGAAAGCAGCCCCCTACCCTGTGCTTTCTCCAGCCAGCTGGACAGGGCTGTTGCCTCCCTTCCGACCATGTATTTTTTTATAAACTGTAGCGGGATTCTCCGCGAAGGAGACGCGCGCTGTTGCCCCTTCTCTACATCAATCATTTGCTTCGCGCCCGTCGCAGCGTAACCCCGCCGAGATGCCACCACGGGCGCTGCTTGTTCCTCCGAGCGAGTTTTCCAGGAGAGGCAGCGACAGAGGCCCCACTCCAGCGGCCTCCCAGCATCTGCTGGACAGGAATGTTGGCTCCAGGCGAACCAGAGACTCACAGCAGTGTTTTGCAACACGTAGGCTGTCGGGTACCTGCAAGGCTTCAGGAACGCGCAACGCAAACAGGCAAAACCTTCCATTAAGGCCTTTACAGTAGCTCGTCAGGTCTGACGACGGTAGGCAGTGCTGGACCTCTGGAGCAGGACCAACCTCCAGCTGTAAACCAGAAGATGCCATGAGCACACAGGCCAGCGGTAAGGGGCGAGGGGGGGAGCGGGATCGGTCACTGCACGGGGCCCCAGCGACACAGCGATCGCGCTACGAGTGCCCGTCGGGACGGGCGTAGCAGCGTCGCACGCCCGTGGTGGCGGTCACCGTCAGGTCTGGGTTTAGATCAAGAGCACGGGGCTGCTGGAATGGGTGCCGGTACCGGGGGCTTCACGCCCCTTCAACGGGAGCAGCCGCTCCCTTCCCAGGCTGGAAGCTGCGCGGCTGCGGCACGGCCCCTGCAGTTCGGGCTGGGCACGGCAGCGTGTGCCCGCCCGGGGACCAGTGCAGTCGTTACAGCCAGGTGAAGGCAGCTCTTCACGGGAGGCAGGACACCTCCTCCTCCTTTCGCCATCTGAAAGGCGGAGCTGCAAACAACCGCGCTGACCCCAGGGACCCAGAGCCAACCGGGTCCCCGGCAGGCAGCAGGGAGGCCGCGCCTCGCTTGCCGTTCCATCCTCGCCAGCGTGACGTTTTGGACCCACGAAATTTAAGGCAAAGATTCAATTGCTCCCCTTGACCCGGCCGCCTGCTTTCTGGCCATCAGGCATGTTCTGGTTTACAGAGAGAGACAACGGTTTTCTCCGACCCTGGAGATAAAGCCTGCCAGCGACACCACCACAGATTTTGGCAAAGGTTCTCAAATCGGATTTGTAAACATAATGCTTCCCTTTTCAGTTGGCAGCATTTCAAAAAGACAAACGCAGTAAGACACACAAAGATTTTGCTCAATTTTGACCAAATAACCTGTGTTTTCACATGATAAAGTAAGCGATGGTCTACATCAAAATAAACCAAAAAACTGCATGAAATGAAAAGTTTGTGCTGTTTGGTGATCACAGTATTTTATCGTTAAATACATCTGTTCTTCGCTATATTCCTGGCACCCAGGACAAAAAGTCTTTAAATATATATTTCATGTAGGCAATAGCTTCTTTGCATATCTCTCTTCAAAAAATACTTTATAGTAGTATATAAATAGGCAACCTACATGTTTAACTTTATAATCTTGCCCCAAAACTATATATGTTTCATTTTTGTAAAGTATCAATTTCCCCAATATTATTAAAGCTGACAAACTATTGAAATGGAAATGCTCTCCCCTTCCACAATAGAAGTAGCGATTTTATAGGAAAAACCTACGGCAACACTCGCCAGTTGTTTTAACCTGAGCGTTTGGCCTACTTAAGAGTAGCAGCTTTTTTTTTTTTATTTTTTAATATCCCCATCAGCCACGCTCACACCCACGCATCCTCGCACGCACACAGAACAGGCACACACTTCCAGACACCGGTAGGCCACGTAGCGCTTCCCAGGCGCTTGAGCCACGCGGGAAGCGGTGTAGCTAACGATTTAACTACACTGAACACACACAAGCAAACACCTTAAGGCAACCACTGCAATGGGGGGTTTAAGTTGCAGGGGTGAGTTTCTGTTGGAACAAAAGGGGCTGTATACAGCACATACACACGCCTCTCCAACCCTCCAGAACAGTGTGATTTTTTTTTTTTTGTTAGTTTTGTGCAAATTTTTAAACCTTCTACCATTTAAGGCAAAGAGTTTGCATTAACAAGAAAGGTCAGAAAACATCCTTATACTTATCCAAAAGCATTTCGGTTTGCTACAATATTTCCTTAAAATGTGCACAACTTCGCAGTAGAGGTACTGGGTCCCCAGCATCTACTGATAAAATTATTTCAATGGACAAACATAAGTCTTGAAGAAAAGAAGGGACCAGAAAAAGCAGCTTCAAATATGCATATAAGCAACATCAACAACAACAAAAGTAGTTAACTTAAGTCTGCTAATACTGAAACTTCTGTAACGCAAAAGTTTGATGCTAATTTTTAGAGCCTTAGAGCAATTAATCTTAGGTTTTAAATAAATAAGCTTCAGTTCATTCACATGTCCCGGTCGAAGCAGAAGACTAGTGCCACGACTCTGCTTGCCGCTGGTCAAATTCCCCTATCAGTCTCTTAATGTGAGACAGCTTGTTGTGGAGATACTCGCATCTGTACTTCTCTTCATAGAAATTGGGGCTAGACTGTAAAGAGAGGATAAAAAGAAAATTAGGGCATGAAAACATTTCTGCAGAGCTTAATATTTCATGTCCTTTGCTTAAAAATAGCCTTGAGCCAGCGTCAGTGACGACCACCTCCCACAAATCGGGTGTTACACGTACCTGTTTTATCTTTCGATACTCTTCTAAGACCTCCTCATGAAGGATCTTCAAGAAAAAAAAAAAAAAACAAACCCAAAACATTAAGACAACACGAAGAACATTTCACTACTACCAGAAAATACAGGTTTGTGTAAAACCCTAAAAATACGCTCAGTTTTACTCAAGATACTTTCTTGTCCATCAGCCGAGCCACTCTCCTGCATCACAAAATAAAACCCCAGCCCCCCGTATCAGCTATTAAACCTGTAAAGAGGCAAAAGGAGCATGGGCTTAAGATTCCCTTTGAGAAGTCGCTCGCGCCGCTGTGCTCTCACAGACAGCTCAAACGGGTGGAGTTTGAGGGCTGAACAACTTCTTGCATGGCTTTGTCAAGCTACAAAAAAATCAGAGCAGGGTCTGAGCACGTACGCACATTCTGGAAGGTTTCCCTTTGTCTGACCGAGCAGTACTGGGGACTTTAAAACACTCCTGCTCACAAATGCGTTTTTGATCTGGCCAAAACCAAAACGAACCCAACCAAAAATCCTCAGCACGCACACAGAACGAAAGGGTTCTGATACTGAACATCTGGAATTCCTATGTCCGAATCAGAGAGGTCCAGGCTGGGAAGCCAGAACATCAGGTTGCTAAAATCGTAGCTAGCATCAGCCACCTGGGGGGAAAGTCGCGGCGGCAGGTTAAGTGTATAAAATCACGTGGAATAGAGGGCCGGGAAAGCCTCGGGATCACGGCCGCTGGTTTCCACGCCATTCCGATCTTCTCCCCCAACCTGCCCAAGAGCCCCCCCTTCACCCCTGCGGGCGCTGAGGCATCAGCGAAGCCTGAGCCAGGCTGGAGCCGCCAGCTACGCGACCCGTTACCCCGCCGCAGACACTGAACCTGGCAAGCCTTTTTTAAAACCTCATCACTGCAATTTACCGGAGATAAATATACCGGAGACTCTGCCTGTGCTGAAAATGGGGACTTTTGGAATGGGTAAGAGGGAGATGAAACACAATCCTCACGGTTTTATCCTCCTTTACCTGATACTCTTTGGACCCTGGAGAAAGAAGCTTTCGTTGTGCATCAAGCTTCATGAATTTCCTGGTGATACCCTCTATCCGAGCATGCAAGCTCCTGTATTCGTCATACTCTGCATTGAAGTCATCCTTGTAACTCTGGCGTTGCTCGTATGAGACGATAGCTATGTATTTTCTAACGGACAAATAAGCACACGCACAATCATACACCAAGGACATCTCACAGCGAATGCCAAGTGCAGACACCCGAGCTTCACGTCAGTTAGCGACGCGACTGACTTCGCTTCTACACGCAAGCAGACATGCTTCAAGAGGATGTATTCTAAGTAATTACAGAAATGCACCACATTTTTGTGACCATTATTTGCTAGAATTTTAGTTTTTAGAGTTTTTATTCAGAAGCTGTGCAAAAAAAAAAAAAAGTCTAGCGTACTTAGAAAACATTAGCAATCATTCAAATTAGAAGGACCCATAAACGCATCAGCTTCAGCGAGAAACTGCTAGATTATTACCTTTCTACAAAGGGACAGGCTAATTAAGTTATATTTACTTTTGAAAATTAATTTTCATTACATTTTCATAAGGGACTGCATTTATGGAGTTGGATGCAGTTTAGTTTTTTGGCTACATTTGTGTCTGTCTAAGAGCAAAGCACAGTTAATGACAAAATTTGATTATTTCAGCGAGCACCAGTTCCACCGCTGTGCATTCAACGAAGGCAGCTGCAATGCAGCAATAAAAACCAGCTGCAGAGAAGTCTGAGACTAAAACCAGCCCATCTCAGCGCCTCCTAGGAGGGCAAAACCCGTGAATGCTTGAAGCCACTGATGCGATTGGAACTGTCTTCGTTCCCCTCTCCCTCTGATCGACATGAGCGGATTTAACGAGCTCATTACACAAATCCCAGATGAAGCGGCAACGCGGGTAACAGATACCATCTCCCACTGCTGTCACACCCATACTTCTGGTCCTCCTCAAGACCTGATTTCCTTTGCACGACACAGGCACCTCCACATGGGGGCGAATCCTTCAAACCACCCTTAAGATTAATTTTAACGAGCAGTAAAAATTTAACAAGTTGAAAGCCTGGACCAACGCCGACAACAACTTTTGTCGGTGATGTATCCCAGGCCAGGTGCACCTGGTTAGAGTACTGGAGAGTGTTTAAAAGAAAACTGAAGATGCCTTCAACGCTTTGGGAGGTACGTGTGAAGCGACGGCGCGGAGTACGGGCTTACGCACGGTCACATCCCACGGCAAGAGTCCTGGCACGGGACAAGAGCCCAGCAAAGCACTCGCAACCCAAGTGCGTGGAGAGGGAAGAAACGGGAGCAGGAGTGGGGAGGAACATGAATCGGTTTTGGTTTCCTAGCTTCTGCTTAACCTTTCCTTAAAAATCTCGAGTTCCTTTTCTCTCATAATCTTTACATTAGGAAGTACAGTATCTTGGTGCTAGTGGTGTGATCATGCTCATGCCTTGCATCGTGCCTGGAGACAGCGAGAGAAGCTGGAATAAACTCTCAGAGTCCTTTAAAATGCATCGACCCGCAGGTGCTCTCAGGTTTCAATCCTGCTGTCATGATCAGGCTGACGTCCGAAACACCACGACCTCATTTTTTTCCAGGACACCGTGGCCAGCAGCTTATCTGTGAGATTGTTCCAGAGGTTGTTCCTTTCACAGAGAATTCTTCATTCAAGGTTTTAGTCGCAGACGGAACTAAACCAACTTTAGGAAACCTTGCACGAAGGCTTTTGGTTTTTTTTTGGTTGGCACCCAATTTTTACATTAGATTACATCAAATAACCATCTACCTTACTTCTCCCTGCCGCTGCTCTCAGCTCCCTGGGAAGCAGATAGTGAAGAGCTGAATCTGTTTCCACCCAGCAGAGGTTTGGGATTAAATGTCAGTTTGAGGTTCTCAGCCGGACACGTGAAGCGCTAAGCTAAGGCTTCCCCGCGGGACCAGCCTTACTTTGTCTTTCCATGGAGCGTTGCTCCCCACTCTGCCCATCTCCCCACAGAAATAGCATTTTATTGGAAAATGACCAAGTTATCCCAGTTATTCCACTGCAGCCTCCTTCGACTGTCCCATTTTTAAGAAAAGGCCACCAATAAAACAGTGCCAAAAAATCCCAGACACCAGATATTTGCAGCAGCTATTTCTCTGTTTTACAACAGTAGAGAGAAATTCTCCTGATAGAACAGTCTTAATATTCTAAAAAAGTATTTAGGCAACCAAATGAGTCTGTTATTACAGTTCTTTCATTTTAAAGCAAATCCTTCAATACTTATCACAGATGAAATATTTTTTTTTTTATATACAGCAGGTAAATTTTAACTTCTGGGCACGTTGATCTGATGTGTGACAACTTGTTAAGGAGCTAAAATTAAAGTTACTTATAAAGTTAAGCTGTAATTTTATAGACTGCAATATGCCACTCATTGTAGATACGTAACATTTCACATGCAGGTTCAATGTGTTTTTATCTTGCTTTGCAGTCAAAGCTAAAATTTAAAATTTGAATTGAGGTTTTTCTGTTTTCTCTAGCTCTTTGGTCAGCAATTCTATGGTGAAATGGGGTATTTTGCTGTAGCTTCGAGCTAGTCAGTGGCCATTTCACATCAAAGCTTTAGAAATAATTGTGATGGTTAACTCCTGCTAGTCCATATATAGGCTTTGTAATGCCAGGCTTTAAAGCCTGCTCTCTTCCCTCCCCACCTTTCCAGGTGCACTAAGCCGTGAAAACACAGGGAAGATTCAGATTTACATACTCAGTGTTTTAGTACTCAGCTTTCCTCCTGCATTGCCTCACCTCTAAAAAGGAAACAGTCACGTTCATATTCCTTTTCTATCGTGTTCTTGAAGAAGAATGAAATTACATGTTTTAAGTCTTCTTTGAAAGCATATTAAAAATTCTTTTTAACACTACTTTTTCCCCGCAATAATTAAGGGACAGCCCCAGAGTTTAAAACCTGCAGGTACTCAAATAAGGCAGCCGGGTGACTTAAAGGAACTGGTCATTATTCTAAAATTACATTTTGGTAAATTTTCAATTTTGTAGCTAAATGAGAGTTTTTATAGGTGATTTTTCAACTGCTCCAAGGGGTGCCAAGAGACTCTTAGTCATTATTTTACTCACATGAAGTAGTCTGGTTGTTCACTTGTTGAGGAAGGAGGATCTGTGGAGGCAGTGCAAGTTTCTTTAACTCCTACAGAAAAGCAGAATTTTGACACTTGTGATAAGCAGATTTTTAATACAGCCAAGCAATAACAATCTGACGGGCTTGAAAAAAATCCTTTACAGTTTTATTCTCACAGTAAATTACTTACTGAGCTTATTCCAAGTTAATATTAGGGCTCACACGACCTTCCCCACAGTGGGCAGTGCCGGGGTTTAGAAAGAGGGCACGGCCACTTTATCCTACAGGTTCTGCACTACTGCAGTATTAACCCGAGGTCAGCGTTTCTTATTTGAAGACATGATGCGGCATCTGCACAGCCATTCAGGTTATGCAGCAACAGATGTAGCTGTCCAAAAGAAGACAGCTTGAGACACACACACATATATATATATATATAAATACACGTATATATGTATAAGCGTCCAGGTTCCAGCAAGAAATAGAGTAGAAAGCTGAAGTTCTTTTCATGCCGTGTTTTTATCCCTCCATCCCAGCCAAGTACGGATAGCCAAAGTTTGATTTAATTTCAGCAGTCCTCTAAGCAGGAAAGTCAACAGCATTGTATATGGGTTACTGCCGTTCAGGCTTCAATAACCTGCAACAAAGACTTGCTCCTCATTAACGTAGCAATACTGGGTTTGAAAGTTATTTGCACTTGTAAATTGCTCTGTTGCTCTTTTAAATGGCATTACAAAAGCACAGTACACTTAATCTCTAATCCCTCTTTTTAAAGGAATATTTCAAGAGCCCCTTACCTTTTCAATAAATAAGAAAAAAATAGCCACCATAAAGAAAAGTTAGCTGGAGCAGGAAGGAGCACTCATATCTCAGTAATCTCTGCTCTTCATTTGGGGTTTTGCGGCAAGCTTAGCACACCCACAATCCTTTATATTCGTTATTATCTTACATTGCCACTGTTTAAACACAGTATTTCTGCTAAAGCACGGCCGCTCTTGCCAATCTCTAAGCCATCTGAGCTTTAAGTCATGGGGAGAGAAAAGAGCTAGCATGTGATGTTCTCCCCAGTTCTTTTGCTTTTTCGTATTAAAGCAGTACAGCAGGAGCAAGAAGTGTAAAAGCAGGAACAAAATTTGAGAGAGGAATGCAGACAGTAATATTCGTAGCCACAGTATGTACCATACAACTTATGTGAACAGTTTCGCTGCCAGCATTTCCTTTCCAAAAATTCAAGTGCATTTGCTGGCATGGCTCGGTCCATTTGAAAGCTTCAACGCAACCACCAGCTAGAAATGTAGTACAGATTTTTCTCCTTCCCTAGCTGTTCAGAATTTGGTACTGGCTTCTGGAGAAAGATGCTCACGTGCAGTCCTGAGCCGCGCAGGCACTGTGCAGAATGCCCAGGGTACATGTGAAAAGACCCTTATCTACAGGCACACCACCACTACAAAGAGGCACCCTGCATATTCCAAAGATGCCTCCGGGCTCTGATACGAAAGGGCTAAGCCTGACTCCTAAATGGCGAGTCAAACCTCTGAAATTAGAGGGCACACAGGTTTAACAAAGAACTGAACTCTGCCCTATTTTGTGTGTGTTAAGAAGTGAGCTATTCTTCGTGTGTTTCTTTTGCTTTTCAATGTCATTTTAAGTGCCTACCATTTCTACATCTTCTGAAGCCCTAGGTTCCGCAGCTAAGATGGGGAGGGGCTTACAGCACAGTTCAAACCAAAGTTCTAGTAAACCACACGCCAGTTTATGCAGGTTTCAGACTTCCCATGAAAAGGAAGAGTTGGACAAACCTCGTGTCGTGATACATGACAAAATAAATTTACGTCTGATCTATGTGTTTCAGTAAACTAGTACAAAATAAGGTTTTTATTTTCAGCATACAGACTTTAAAACTTGCTGATGGAAAAAGCAGAGTAAGCTTCAGTAGACTGACAGTTTACTGGAAATAGAGAAAAAAAAAATCCATTCTTTGCGTTTTTCTAGTACCCAGCCATTCCTTCTAACATACTTCTGCCCAGCAGCAATCCATTTAAGATTTCCTTGTTCTAATGATTTTTGTAAGACAGAGTGAGAATTCTTAAAGATTAACTTAATTTTAGCTAAGGTTCCAGCAGAACAAGTCCAGCTTCTGGTTTTTGTTGTGTTGGTTTTGTTTTTTTAAACTAAGTTATAATTTTTGCTTTTTTAAACTAACAGTTATAATTTTTGTTTTTTAATGTAATGCAGTGGCGGAAAAAAAAAATACTGATTCTTGGTGACCATAAAGTAGGGATAATGGCAAGGCACGTAACATACAGCAAGTGAAAAAACAGACCATTTGCATTTCCAGTCCCTGGTTTTCCTGGTCCCTTTTCACCGGGGTTACCCACACCATAGTTAGGAAAAGCAGCGCATTAATAACTTCACCTGAATTCAAACGGGAGGATTTTTTCAGCTTGGCAGTTTTTTCTTTCCTAAGGTCTTTCTCCTCCTTGCTCGCACCCGTAGTGTCCTGTGTTTTGCTTTCATCCTTCTCCTTACGCTCCTTCACCTTCTCGGGCTTTTGGTGCACCACCCCGTGCTTCTTGCCTGCGGGCCTGGGGGCTTCCACCGGCACGGCGGCAGACGCCAGGATCCCCAAAGGAGTCTGAGAGGTATATTTTTGTTGCTGGTCCTCGTAGATGCTACTGCTATTTTGACTGAAGCTGTCCACCGGCAGGTCTTGTGTCCCCTGCCCCTCGGGGGTGCTGGGGGAGCCAGAGCTGGCAGTTCGAGGAGGGTTGGAAGTGGGGAGGAGCGCGGGAGGCAGCGGCAGAGGAGCGGGAGTAGTGGCGGCTGCGGGACGGGGCGGCGGCGGGGCGGCAGTGGCTTTCTCACCCGAGGCAGGCAAGTGGCTGCTGAGCGATGGCTGGACTCGACTGTTCAGGGGAGATATCCTCTGCTTTTTGTTCATCAGAGGAGTGGTAAAATCGGAATTCAAAAGCCGTTTCTGTAAGAAATAAAAATTAAAAAAAAAAAAATTTAAAAACTCAGCAGAATTAAGTTTTCTTAGCATTTCTGAACAGGCAATTATTGAAAACACATCTTTCTTACCTAAAAATAGCTGGAACAAGGAACTACTGCAGCTAAACACATGGTTTATTTCATCCTCAGTTTCTAATCTTATGACTGAGCAAGTTGCTCCTCAGCCCTGCAGCTAAAAGGCTTTGGGAGAAAGACGGTCTCTCCAGCAGCTCTACCAAAGGCTTCACCAAAATGAGGAGGTCAGGTCGGCACTGTTTAGGTACCGATTTCAGTTCGGAGGTACTGGCCCAGAGTCAGCTTTTGCTGTCAGGCAGCCCCAGGATTTACTGAAGCAGTCCCGAGAAGCAGGCCGCGCTTATCAGAGCGCGCGAAGTGCAAAGCTGATAAGAACAGGTAACCCCCCCCCTCCATTTTGCCTCAGTTGTCATTCCAGCTGTTCTCCAACCGAAATGCTCACATCCTCTTCCCCAGCAAGCATACACTGCTCCTGCTGCTGTACGAGCGGCAGCTTGGACCAGGAGTGCCGGGCACGGCTCTGTGCCACCCCGTTGAAATAAATCCAGACCCTGTGTGCACAGAGGCAGATCCCTGGGACCTGCACCATTTCACCCTCTGACTGGAAGGAAGTTAGGGAAAAACAGAGGTGTGCTCTCCCTCCTCTACTTAAACGTAAATATCTCAGTGGTAAAAGCCTTCCCGTACTTCCCAGCTTATCGCTGTACACACACAAGCTCTCCTGTTCCTCAGTTTTCAACTGCATTTACTGAAGTGCAGTTTTAGGCACAGGAAACATCAAACTTTTCCTTACAGTAATGCCTTTTATGCAGAGTTTTCCAAGCTGCTTCTAAAAGGGCTTGCATTGTCCTCGTGTATTGGTAAGACGGCAGGACATGCGCGTTTTCAGCCTGAAAAGGCTGGGGGAAGGCGTAGGTACTACCTGCTGATTCAGACCTGCCTTATCACACCCGGGCTACCCTGAATCAAAATGGGTGCTTAAATGATGCCTGTAAGGAAAAAAATGATATATATTCCACCAAGTGGATCACTACTTAATTTGTCCTTACTCTAGACTTTCCTGAGCTTCATATTTGAACCGCAGCACAAGGATGTTTGTGCATATTTTATGAATTATAACTACCATATCACAAAGAACCTTGAACACATGCAACCACGGATCAGGAATATGTACCTTATCTTGTCTTTAGGAGACCTTTCCACACACCGAGATGAACAAGTGATGTGGCAATACAAAACAGTTTTAAGTATTTAACCAGAAAGCACAGGGTTCTCTTGCAGCAATGGGTAACCAAAAAGTCCAGCAGGCGAGCTGAAACCCCACAGCTGAGTTTAGGGTTCTGCAGGGTCAACGTGCTGGGGATGGACAGTTACGATTTCGGCCAGCGTGTTGGCTGTTGAAACATGACAGCAGTGGTCTCTGTCACAGACCTAGGTGTATTTCCAAAATACTGTGTAGACAGGAATTGTCCACTTTTCTGAATATTTTAATAAATGTTCTGAAATACAGAACACTAAATATAGCGCTATATAGCACCGTAAGTTTTTTGCAGTCTTCAGCAGCGCAGCCATCTTAAAAAAATATATTACAATCCAATGGGAAATAAATGCTTCAGTTTTTCATGTGTTAAAGACAATACTAGTGCTTCACATCACAGCCTTTACACCAGTATAAAGTACGATAAATCTTAACGCACTGTAAATAACGTCAAAAAAATACAAAATACCTGAGAAGTTGATGGAGCATCTTTATTAGAAGTTACGGGAGATTCCAAATGGCTGGTGCTGGTGGCATTCTGAGATGAATTTAATTTCCTGTAAGGATGACCCAACATTTCAGGTTACAAGGCAGAAATGTCTACGTCATAGTGCTGTCATTGTAGGGAAGACAGACATTAATTTCCCAGAAGTTTTTTAAATGGCTGTTTTCCTTCCCCTAGAGACTGAACTTACCTAGAAAGTATTAACTCCAATGACTGCTTATCTATTTCATTGTATCCAGGCCACTCTTTTTGAATTTCTTTAAATACATAATCCTTCAGAGTGTAAGAATTATCCTTTGGATTCAGGTTGGCTACCTACAGGCAGACATTTAAGAAAATAAATGTTTATTATACCTAAATGCAAACTACAGAAATAAGATTGGTATTGCAAAGCAAAATCAAAGCTTAAAACTAAATCACGCACCACTTTTCCAGGTTTTTTAGATGTGAAGATCAAAGCAGCTCTCTTGTTATGAGCACCAATTTAACAAAAATGTGGTCAATTTGGGGTGTAGAAATTTGGATGTAAGAAAATCCCAAACTGCTGCAAGCACGCAGGAAATGTCCTCTATGAAAACCTCTCTCTGCACCACAGACCTGGGTTTTTGTCTTTAAGATAGCACTGAGAATCAAGGCAAACTATGCCAGAACTTTAGATCTTCACTGCGTGAAACGCGTTGAGAGGCCTAGTTTTTATTTTTATTTATTTTTCTTTTTTTAAGAACGGAAGAACACCCCCTCCACACACAAATTCAGAGCTGTTCAGCTTCAGGAGGACACAGCTATACCGCGGTGGCAGGGCACAGACTGTGCCTGGAACAACCCACGTTCTCCATCATCCCTTTAATGACCGCAGCATGTCGTCATCTGTCTTGACAAACAGAATTGCTTTTCTTTCTGAAGTGCCTGAGACACAAGAAACCACAGCTTTCTACCGAACAATCGTGCGTGATAACCTAACCGGCACTGAGCTGCTTTTAGTGCAAAGTGAATTATTCATCTATCCCACTAGTTTTAAGCCATATCTAAGTTTTACTGAGTGTGAAAAAAAGTAACTGTACTCGTATCTAATGAGCTGTATTTTGGAAACAAGACTCAGTGCTAAAGCAGTTAAGGAGAGGCCCAGGCGCGCTCCTCCATTTTGCAGACACGGGGTTCGTTAAGCAAACCATCGTCATGAGAAGGTCGTGTGCGTGCCTTGCTGTGTACCTTTGAAAATAAAATGGGTTTATATCTTCCCGAAGAAAAAACCAAAGTATACTGAAAAAGTTAAAATGAGCTAGTCCAGCTTGCGACCATCGACACCTACAGTGCTGGTTTAGACTTCATCACCTGACATCGCTTCAGATTTCAGAGAAAGCCTCAAAGAAGAGTAGACTCTGTCAATTTGCCCAACACAAAATGCAGAATAACTCATCAACACATCACCATCACTTTCTGCCGCTTTGCCTATTTTTCCTCCAAATCATGGCAGATAAATACTGCTAATTTGTGTGTGTGTGCATGTCTGTCTGGCCCCAGCTTAAAAAAAAAAAAAAAAAAAAAAAAA